AATTCTTTCTTCAAGCATTCTACTGCTTTTGGAAGCTCTTCAGGAGTTCCAATGATATTCAAGTCATCAACATACACAGCTATTATGACAAATTCAGATCCAGATCCTTTTATAGAGACACAAGGACAAATTGGGTCATTCTTGTACCCTTCTTTCAATAGATATTCGCAGAGGCGATTACCACATGCGCCCTGATTGCTTCAATCCATACAAGGATTTTTGAAGCTTTATCAAACAAGTTTCCCGAGAATCTTTGTATATTTCAAGTACTTTGAATCCTTCAGGAATTTTCATAAAAATTTCGTTGTCCAGTGAGCCATATAAATAGGCAGTGACAACATCCATAAGACGCATATCAAGTTTTTCATAAATTGCTAGACTGATAAGATACCTGAACGTAATTGCATCCACCACAGAAGAATATGTCTCCATATAATCAATGACAGGCCGTTGCGAAATTTCTCATTTCTTTTTCACACAAAAATCCATTTGTAACCCACTGCTTTACACCTTCAGGTGTTTGGGCTATAGGTCTAAAAACTTCACGTTTTTTAAGTGAAGTCAATTCTACTTGGATAGCTTCTTTCTATTTTGGCCAATCATTTCTCTGTCTACATTCATCGACAGATTTTGGTTCAAGATCCTCATCTTGTTGTATTATTTCAGCAGCAATATTATAAGCAAAACTGTTATCAACAACTATATCATTTCGATTCCATCTTTTTCCAGTTGAGACATAATTTATTGAGATCTCTTCATTTTCATTATTTCCAGGTACCTTGACCTCTTTTGAGGTTTTATCAATTGTTATGTCTCGGGGCTCTCCTTGAGCAATTACCTCCATATTATGACAATCTTGATCATTTTTCCTTTTCCTTTTTCGAGGATTTTTATCTCTAGAACCGATTGGTCTACCACGTTTTAAGTGTGGCTTAGACTCGTATGCTTTAACAGATTGTCCTACCGGGATATCAACTCGGATTGGAGCATTTGCATCTGGAATATGAGATTTAGTAATCCTTGGTAGGTTGGTAAATGCATCTGGAAGTTGATTTGCAATACTTTGCAAATGAATTATCTTTTCAAATGAATTATCTTTTGAACTTCCAGTTCACATTGATTTGTATGAGGATCTAAATAAGATAATGGTAATGCATTCCAGTCTATCTCCTTTTTCAGCTGCTTATTCTCTCCCCCTAATGTTGGAAAAACTAATTCATCAAAATGGCAATCAGCAAATCTTGCCGTAAATAAATCTCCAGTCATGGGTTCCAGATATTTAATAATAGAAGGAGATTCATATCCAACATATATCCCCCAACCTTCTTTGGAGACTCATCTTTGTGCATTGTGGTGGAGCAATTGGAACATATAACGCACATCCAAATATTCTAAGATGAGAAATATTTGGCTCCTGACCATAAGCCAATTGTAATGGGGAGATTTTATAATAACTCATTGGCATGACGCGCACAAGTGCTGTTGCATGCAAAATAGCATGACCCCATATAGAAATAGAAAGTTTTGTTCTTATAAGCAATGGTCGAGCAATTAATTGGAGGCGTTTGATAAATGATTCCGCCAGACCATTCTGAGTATGAACATGAGCAACAGGATGTTCAATTGTTATCCTAGTTGACATACAATAATCATTAAAGGCTTGGAATGTAAATTCACCAGCATTATCAAGACGAATTGTCTTAATTGCATAATCTGGAAATTGTGCTCTTAATCTTATTATTTGAGCCATCAACCTTGCAAATGCCAGATTGCGTGTTGATAATAAGCATACATGAGACCATCTTGTAGATGCATCTATTAAAACCATATAATATTGAAATGGTCCACATGGTGGGTAAATGGGCCCACATATATCACCATGTATACGTTCCAGAAAAGCTGGGGATTCAATCCCAACTTTAGTTACTGATGGCCTAGTATAAATTTACCTTGAGAACATGTAGCACAAAAGAATTCTTTAAATTGAAGAATCTTTTGGTTCTTCAATACATGTCCATGTAAATTCTCAATTATTTTGCGCATCATGCTAGAACCGGGATGGCCCAATCGGTCATGCCAAATAATAAAATCATTTGAATTAGTAAACTTCTGGTTTACTATAGCATGTGTTTCAACCCTGCCAATGTTTGTGTAGTACAAGCCAGAGGAAAGACCAGGCAACTTTTCAAGCACATACTTCTTACCCGACTTTATTGTAGTAATATAAAAATATTCAATCTTTTCATTATTTGTGGTCTCAATGCGATATCCATTTTGGCGAATATCTTTGAAACTTAGTAAGTTTCTTTGACACTTGCTACAATATAATGCTTCATTAATAGCCAAATTTGTTCCTCCGGGTAGTAATAAATTTGCTCTTCCAGAGCCTTCACTTAATCTTGTACTACCAGATATTATATTAACATTGGCGTCTTTCATCTTGGATGTGTTGTAGCACTATCCAAAAAACATATATCATCTTTATTGATCTTGAAACTAACTAAAGACTGGGGAATTTCCATATTCTTCATAAAGAAACAAAAAGTACATCATAAGAAATACGAAAGACAATAAATAAAAGAAACATTAGAAATTACACTAGGAATATAGAAACTAGCATATATGGTGCTTTAGGAAAGTACACTAAGAAGAACAAACTACTTAAAGACATAACAACATGAAATAACAACTTTTCTTAAAGTTTTATTCCCTAGTAAGATAATCACTTCTTCAGTCAATATCCTCAAAGAAGTCTCCAGCTTCTAAATGAGTAATATTTGCAAGACCTCCAAAATCATCATTTTTATATGCAAGATTTGCCTCAACATCGTCATATTTGTTTGAGGGACCTGCTTCATCATCATTATTTTGATAAGTCAAGTGTGCCTCCACATTGTTATATTTTCTTTTAATAGATACTTGATAAAGTTTGACAAAATAGTCAGGTGTATGACAAACACGTACCAAATGACCTTTCATACCACATCTGTGGCAGATATTAACTCTGCCCTTTAAAGAATTATTTTGAGGATCCTTATTGTTCTCCTGTTTATTTTCACCATGATGACGATAATTATTTCGTCCCCTTCCATGTCCACGTCTACGTCCACGACTATGGCCACGGCCACGACCACGATAATTATTTTATCTTCTTTCAGAATTTTGAGTCGCTGCTACCATATTCACTTCGAGAAATGGTGCAGATCCAGTAGGACGGGCTTCATGATTTTTCATTAAAAGGGTATTATGTTGCTCATCCACCATGAGGCATGAGATAAGTTCAGAATATTTCTTTATACCCTTTTCACTGTATTGTTGCTGCAATACCATATTTGAGGCATGAAAAGTAGAAAGAGTCTTTTCCAGTAAATCCTCATCATTCACAATTTCCCCCCATAATTTAAGTTGGGAAGTTATTCTGAATACAACAGAATTATATTCACTTACAGTTTTAAAATCTTGTAAGTGTAAGTGAATCCATTCATATCGAGTTCTTGGCAATACCGTTGCCTTTAGATGGTCATATCGTTCCTTCAAACTGCTCCATAATTTGAATGGATCTTTCAGGGTTAAGTATTCAGTTTTTAACCCTTCATCAAGATGATGACGAAGGAAAACCATAGCCTTTGCCTTATCCTGGCCTGATGCTTCATTTCCTTGTATAATAGTATTTTCAAGAGCTTTTGCAGCAAGGTGAATTTCAGCATCAAGGACTCATGATAAATAATTCTTTCCGGAGATGTCAAGTGCCACAAATTCAAGTTTTGATAAATTCGACATAGTAAAACTATCAATAAGAATCAATAGTTAGAGATAACAATAAACATAAAATAAAATTAAAAAACTTTAAGGAATAAAAATCCAAACAAAATATTATAGAATTATATAAGGACATACCAAATATAGTTACACGGTTACTAGTCGAAATTAAGGGCTATCTTTAGAATTTATGTTTCTAAATATGATCTTCTACTACGTAAGAAAAAGAAGTGAAATTTTATATTCTTAAAGATATATTAATAAGTAACGTTTTTTTCCTTATATTAATGATTATATAAGGACATACCAAATGATCTTGAACAAACTATTACTTATATTAATAAGTAATGCTTTTTCCTTTGCCAAATAAAAAAAAAATAAGAGTGCATATAAAATTAAATAGTAAAGTTTCCAGAAACTGTTTTTTCCTTTTTAAGACTAAACCATTTTGTTATACTTAAATAAAACTAGTTAGATATAATAGTATAACTCATCCCGTATTTAAGTGGTTTACAGCAGCTAAAATAACTTCGAGTTAGCACAAGGTATGTAAAACAATACCTGAAAGAGGATATGAAAATATACCCCAAGGTGGTAGTGGGAATTATTAGAGTCTCGTGTTGATAACGTATTATAAAATAAAAGCAATATAGCAAGAACTATGTAATTAACTAGGACTAATAATAGAAGAGAATGACAACATTAGAGGAGAGGATTTATTTCTTCGTTTCAGAGTATGGAATAGGTTCATCAGTGAACCTATTTATAGAAACATTTCATTATTACATAACCAATCCAAAACCTGTTATGAAAGACAGTCATTGTTGCAAGTGGATGGATCCATTTGAAGGATTTATAACAATATTGAGGTATGTCCAGATTAGTTTCAAGGGTTAACTAATGCTTCTGGACCAAGTTAAATGATCTAATTTTGACTCAGAAAAAAAGTTTTACCAATCATACTGCCATTTTGGCTAAAGATGGAAGTCATTTTTTCGTTAAAAATGTATTCTGATAGTTGGTTGGTACGTTAAAAATATTTTTCAAAAATATATATGTTAAAAATTGATAAAAACAATATTGGCACATTGTAGGGAGTTTTGATGAAAATATGTGTAAAAAGTTAATGGCTAATAATAACTAGAGCAAGTGAGATATTTAGCTAAAAGTCAAAATACTTGTTAGGAAAATAATATCTCCATAAGTGAAGGAAATCACTTTCCCTCTTTAAATGGGAAATGTTTTCCTTAAAACCATTTTATTATAACAAACATCGAAAATGGCACAAAAAAATTAACTTCAGTCGTACAAACACCCAATAATTTTCTCTGTTTCTATTTTTATCTATTTATACATCAATGGAAGCTATTTCCAACTCGCTCTATTAAGATAACTACTTGACAGCATATAAATGTGTAACAAGATGGATACAAAGAAGCAAATGGAAATCAACAGTTCAACACCATCAACTCCGAAAATGGTGACTTTCTTGGGTCTCTTGCTCGGAAAGACCCAAAGACTAAAGTTTGATTTGTACGCTTAGTGCGACTACAACCTGAATAATTAGCCGACATGGAATAGCAGTAATGCTTTCTGAACTGCGATTGTAACTAGAAGCGCCTAATGTCTTTTGGAGGCTTAAAATGAAGAGGATGAGTTTCTGGTGTGGCAGTTTCATCTTCTTTCCACATCTTGATTGTCTTATCAGCTTCACAACTGATCAGCCTTGAGCCAGTCATATCGTAGGTGAGCGCGTAGATGCCTGCTTCACTGTCCAGTGATCCTGAAACATGGTAAGGCTTAGAATAAACCTTATGCTCCTCGTGACCAACAATAAAAGTAAACATCAAATTATCACACGCATACCAGGTTGAACAATAGTTTGAGATTGCTGGAAATTGTGACCACTTCTCCAATCCCAAAACCACATGCTTCCATTGTCACCTTCACAAGGAGATACACAATGCATCAGCAGAGTACATCACT